GCTGCCCCAGTCTTCACACCCGGAGCTGTGAGCCGCCTGGTCACGTGGCAGGATGGCCGATGTGGCAGTGAGTTCTTGGCTTCTCTGCCCCGGCCAGAGTCCCATCTCAGTGTGGCCACGGGGTTCGGCTGTGCAACCATCTTCTGGCTTTTGAAAAATAGGTACAGACACCTGTTCTCTGAATCGGGCGCTGTATTTCCAGGGGGCGGCTCCTCTGCCTGGTCAGCATCACTCCATCCCTCAGTGAGTGTGACCTAGACTTGGCCTAAAGCTGCTTCACTTCCCAGAGGGCTCTCTGTTGGTTTTCCTGTTCTAACCGGCAGGGAGGCGGGGGGCGCTAGAGAGGACAAGGGACTTGCCAAGGGTCATGTGGTGAGTTCGTGGTGAGGTCAGGGCTGCCGAGAATGGCCGGCCGATGTCCCCTCCCCTAAAGGCAGCTTTGCTTGGAGGGCCACCCCTCAGGAGGTCCATTTGGGGGAGCCACGCACACGTGGGGTTTCGGCTGCCACTCAGCCCTGCCTTGTTTGGTCCACACTGCCCACCGCTAGGGGCAGGCCAGGCTTTTAAGTCACCATTAGACCATGTTGAATTATTTCTGGTATGAAAAACAGCCCCGAGTTCCTGAAGTGCTACGACGCAGCTGGCACCATCCATGACTATGTGGTTGCCATGCTGTGTGGCTTGCCAAGACCCCTGATGTCTGACCAGAATGCTGCCAGCTGGGGATATTTCAGCACCCAGAGCCAAAGCTGGAACTCGGAGATGTGAGTATAGCCTTGCGGGCTGGCTCCAGCCAAAGGGCAGGATCCCTGGAGCGGAGATTCACTGGGCTTTCCCATGGGAACCATGGGCATTCCCGTCGCTGGGCGTGGGTGGGCCTGGTGGCAGGTGAAGCCCTTGGGAAGGGCTGCCCTGATCCCCAAAGGTGCCCGATACCTCGGGTGGGCTCCCCGGTTCTTGGTGACCTGGCCCAACCTACAGATTTCAAAGAACAACCCTCACACTATAATATATTTTGAAGAAAGGTTAAGAAATGGAAGCAGTAGGTGCGAGAGATGCCTTTTAAGTTCTGTTTAAACAATCATTTGCCTTTTCAGGTCCAGAAGTCCAGTGCCCTATAAGTCCTCTTCCTTCAGGGCCCCAATTCTGAGCTCTGTAATAAAACAAAAAGCACCTGGTAGTTCAGGTAAAGGACTTCCTAGCATGCTTTATAACACTCACAGCCCCGTCACTAACCCCGAGTGATGAGTGCATTTGGTGTTCAGGAGGTGCCTGATGGGTTTGACTCTGGTGTGGCCCGTGCTAACCGACTGTAACTTTGCACTGAAACTCCCTTTGCAGGGTGTTTGTGTTCCCCTCAGACACAGGGGCCAGATATGCCACCTGCTCTTATCTATACCGTCCTATCGCCCTCAACTGGGGATCCAGCCTGAAACCCAGGCATGTGACCTCCTGGTTCATAGGTCGACACTCAGCCACACCAGGGCCAGTGTTCACTCTTAAAAAATTTTTTTTAAAAAATCCCAGCCTATTTCTCGTAGGTTTCAAAAAGTCAGAGAGACCCCTGTGAAAACACTGGCTTCTCCCCTCCCTTCTCCGACCCGTACCCTGCAGTGTTTTCCTTTGTTGCGTTTTCTGGAAACAACAAAGAGCAGAAAGCCAGGCACTGTAAATGCGCTGTCCGCTTCTCGTTTGCAGACTGAGGGCCTCCGGCTTTCCCGTCCACCTGCTCCCCGACATCGCCGAGCCCGCCAGCGTGGCAGGCAGGACTGCCCATGCGTGGTTTGAAATCCCGAAGGGGACACCGGTGGGCGTGGCCCTCGGTGATTTGCAGGCCTCCGTCTATTCCTGTATGGCCCAGAGGACAGACGCAGGTAAGACTTGTCCTCTCCTCAGACTTCTGCTCTGTGTGAGGGTCCAGGAGGCACACCTACCTGGAAGCCTCAGCATGCTTTTAACCGATATTCTGTAAACGTGAAAAACACCCTCCCTCTGCAGGTGAAGACCCCGCTCAGGGAGCTTACACCGCAGGAACCCAGCTCTGCCCCTGCCCCTGGTCTGGGCCTTTCCTCCTGAGGGCCAGGGCAGGGGATGGCTCTCTAGTTGGCTGGTTCCTGTGTAACTCCATGACCAAGGAAATAGATGAGGAGACGAGGGTTTTTGTCTTTGTGTGCTTGTCAGTGAGAGTTTTGCCCCATCTGGCTAAAAGTCTCGAGTCCTCCCTGTGTACGAGAGCCACAGGGAGGTGGAGGCAGCAGTGTAGGGCCAGGGTCGGCAAACCTTTCCTGCAAAGGGCCCGATTGCAAATACGTCAGGCTTCGTGGGCCATGCAGTGTCTGCTGTTGGGGCATGAAAGCAACCACAGCCACTTGTAAAGGAATGGGCGTAGCTGCGTTCCAATAAAGCTCGTTATAGACACTGTGATGCGGATTTCATATAATTTTCATGCGACATGAAAGCTGCCGTGCTTTTTGTGACTTGGTCTCCGAAGTCACACACTGTCACGTCTGCTTTATTCTCTCACTAGAAGCAAGTCACTGAGTCCAGCCCACACTCAGGGTAGGGCAATTAGGCTTCACCTCCTGAAGGAAAGAAATAGTATTCAAGAATTTTGGACCTTTAAAAGAATATTTTTTTTATTTTATTGATTTCAGAGAGGAAGGGAGAGGGAGAAAGAGATAGAAACATCAACGATGAGAAAGAATCATTGATCAGCTGCATTCTGCACGCCCCCTACTGGGGATCGAGCCTACAACCGGGGCATATGTCCTGAAGGGGAATAAAACCGTGACCTCCTGGTTCATAGTTCCACGCTCAACCACTGAGCGTTGCCGACTGGACTGGACGTGTTTTCAAAACCAGCACACTCTCCCCTTGCCCGGTTGTGACTGTGACCTCCAAGTTAGCCCGATAGACCTAACCTTTGCTTTTCTTGGGCCCCAGTTCTCAACATCAGCACTTCGGTTCAGTTGGCAGCCTCCATGCCGTCAGGGTTCCAGCCAGCACAGACTCCAGACCCTGCAGCTCCGGTCGCCTACTTCCCCTACTTCGACAGGACCTACCTGGCAGTGGCAGCCTCCCTCAACGGGGGCAATGTGCTGGCCACGTTCGTCCAGATGCTGGTCCGGTGGACGGCGGATCTCGGTAAGATGTGGCCCACGCAGCGCTGCCTCTCTGCTTGTCCTCTCATCACGGCAGTGAACGTGCTGCAGAAGCTTCTAGATTCACGTCTCAGACCCAGGCAGACCCAGAACCTCTCTTCCTTCCTTAGGAATCTGAGCCTCTTGTTTTCCTCTCATCTCCTGAGCTGCCACCCCCTACTCTCTCCTGACCTTGACTGCGGAGTGTCAGAGAGTCTCCCCGTTCTCCCCTGCCCCGCTGTCTTACTTCTTTGTCAGTGAGCCCCCCCCCCCCCGCCCTTGCATTTGGGGTTTTCCCTCTGAAGACTAAAGATGGCTGAAAATAAAAGGATCAAAGACGAAGAGTGAAAAATCTGGTATTTTATAATATTATAAAATCATCATAGCACTTATTCCTGGCCAGTAGGGTCCTGAGTCCCTGTCTCAGGGGGGGTCCCTGGAAACTCTGGGGTCCTCCTGCTCTCGTCTCCAGTTTTCAGGGTAGAGTTGGTTTGGCTTTTCCTCTGCTCTGCACTCACAGGGAAACGCGAAACCTTCCCAGCCACTTATGGTAGAAATGAAATTTCTGGCCTAGGGAGAGCATGCTGATCAGATTTACTGGAGACCAGTAGGAGCTCAAAATCGGGCCATTCCAAGAACCAGGTACCCAACACAGCCATGGGGGGGATGCCAGGCAGCAGGGGGCAGGGAGACTCTTACTGTCAGCTACCAGACAGTGCCGCTGACTCACATGGGCCTCGGAGGTCAGGGTTGTGGGGAGCTCTGGCCTCTTGGCTGGGGTGTCCTCAGGATGGCTTCATTTAAATGACAGGACTTGGATTTTGTTTTACCTGCATCAGGGGAGGGTTTCAAGATGCGGAACCAGTTATGAGAACCTTCCAACAATAAGGCACTGGTTCAACTAGATTGGGTCTCTCAGCTGTTTACTGAGCTGGCCAGTGTTGCTCTTTCTACAGAAGTGACCCGTTTTCTTGCCCCTGAATGACTTGGGAATATTAACTTTCCCTGTAAGATCCTTCAAAAAAGTCTCTTCTGATTTCCTTGGTTCTCATTTTGAGGAAACAAAGAGTGTTTTGAAGGTTCCTGGATTCCATATAACTTGACCATTTATGAAAATTTTACAATTATGTCATTTTATTGAAAAACACATAAATGTAAATAAAAGACATATTTATTAACCAGAAATGGAAATATTTCAGCATAAAGTACAAAAGTAAAACTCTTGCTGGATTTAGAATTTTGCTGAATTTGCATTTTGTTCCAGAGGTTAGCTTAGAGGCAGTTCTACCCTCGTGTGGTCGTTTAGAGCAGGCCCCTGGGGCTGGCGGCCTGGGCTTGAATCTCAGCTCTGCCTCCTCCTGTGTGCCTTTGGGAAGGTTACTTCACTCCTCTGCACTTTACTTCCCTTACCTGAGAATGGTCAGACATCAGGGGTCTTGGCAAGCCACACAGCATGGCAACCACATAGTCATGGATGGTGCCAGCTGCGTCGTAGCACTTCAGGAACTCGGGGCTGTTTTTCATACCAGAAATAATTCAACATGGTCTATACTTCCCTTACCATGTTGGGGACATCGGCCGGCCATTCAGCAGCCCCTTCATGTCGCATGAAAATCCTAGTGCCTACCTCAAAGGACTGTGAGGGTTCCGTGAGTCAATACTGGGAAGCACATAGAACAGCGCCTGGCCCGTAGTGATAGTGAGTGTGATATGACGCTTGTTAAATAAGGTTGGGTGGTGAGTTCAACCCAGGGCGTGACCTCGGCTCCCTGCTCTGTCTCCAAGTCACTATGTGGCCTTGGGATGTCCCTTTCCTTCTCTATTTTCCCAGCTCCAATGTTCTATGATTCTAGGCCCGTGGTGTTGACATTTGGCAACTCACAGCAGTTAATCTCACCCGTAGATTTGGATGAGGCAGTGAGCCAAGGCACACAGAGACAGAGGCTAGAAGCCAGATCTCCCAGGCCTTCAGCTGTGAGCACCTTCCTGCAGGTGCTCCTCAAGGCTTGCCTAGGTGTTTCCCAGTGAGGAAGAACATGTCCTTAGCTGGTGTAGCTCGGTTGGTAGGAGTATCGTCCCATAAACTGAAAGGTCGAGGGTTCAATTCCTGGTGAGGGCACATACCCAGGTTGCGGGTTTAGGGTGTGTATAGGGGACAACCGGTCAATGTTTCTCTGTGTTTCTTCCTCCCCCACTCCTCTCTCTCCCTTCCTTTCTCTCTAGAATCAATAAACGTATCTTCAGGTGAGGCTTAAAAAAAAAGTTTTGAGAATGTGCTATTGCAACAAAGATAGCAATAAAAACATTTTTGAGTTCTTATTAAAGAAATACAAACACATCATTATTATTTTTAAACTGTAGATCTTATTTGTGTTTCAGTGATTTTTCTACTAGTGCCATTTTTCTGTTCCAGGACTCAATCCAGGATACACATTGCATTTAGTCATCACATCTCCTTCGTCTCTCTGTCTTCTATTTGATTGAACTGTTTTTTTTAAATTTTATTTTTTATCTCCTTTCCCTTTTTTCCCCATTAGTTGATGTCTTTACATTTATAGCTGTGCTTTTAGAAGTTTCCAACACACTCTGTTTGCTAGGACATGGAGAGACTCACTCTTACGTGTTGCTGTGCAGTGTAAGTTGGTGCAGCTTATAAGGAAGGAGGGAGTGTTATGTGCATATCTTTTGACCTAGAAGTTCCCTCCAAGGACTCAGTCCTACAGATGTACACGCTTGTACACCTGTACTAGGTTACCACCAAGCACATGAGCTTCCTGACATTTTAGTAGAATTTCTATAGGAAAGACACATATTTATTCAGCAGAGCTTAACCAGAGTCCTGCTGATCAAATTTTGACTGTGCAAATTCAGGGTATTTGGAATACAGCAAGAGTTTTATTTTTGTAATTTATGCTGTATTATTTCTACTCCTGGTTAATAAATGTGTCTTTTATCTAAATACATGTGATCGTATTTGTATGTTTTTATTTTATTTTATTGCGTTTTTTACAGAGTGAAAGAGAGAGGGATAGAGAGTTAGAAACATCGATGAGAGAGAAACACTGGATCAGCTGCCTCCTGCACAACCCCTACTGGGGATGTGCCCACAACCAAGGTACATGCTCTTGACTGGAATCGAACCTGGGACCCTTCAGTCCGCAGGCCGACACTCTATCCACTGAGCCAAACCGATTAGGGCTGCATTTATATGTTTTTCAATAAAATGACTTAATTGTAAAATTTTCATAAAAGGTTAAGTTATGTGGAATACACAAACTTTCAAAACACTCTTTGGTTCCTCAAAATAAGAACCATGAAAATGCAAAAAGACTTTTTTAAAAAGCTCTCTCTCTCTAGTTGCTGAACATGTACAATATAGTTTTTTTTTTAATGTATATACTTATTTTTTATTTCAGAGAGGAAGGAAAAGGAGAGATAGAAACATCAATATGAGAGAGAATCATTGATTGGCTGCCTCTTTGGCATCCTCTACTGGAGATCGAGCCTGCAATTCAAACATGTGTCCTTGACCAGAATTGAACCCGGGGCCCTCCAGTTTGCAGGCCGACGCTCTATCCACTGAGCTAAACCAGCTAGGGCTATAGTAAAGTTTGTATAGGTTAAATGTGCTGATGATTTTACTCTAGGTTTACTTCCCTTATTGTAATTTTAATAAGATCCCTACGTGATTCCTATGCATCGTCAAATGTGAAAAGCACTGGTCTAGACTGGGGTTCTCCACTTCTGCAGGGGACGGCTAGACCATGCTCAGCCCTCTGATCCTGGGATTCTGTGACTCTGCTGGTAAGTCCGGTGGAGTCATGATGGTACTTATTGATCAGTACGTGCCTGATGGCCCTCTGCGACCAAGGGTCTCATAGCTGGTTAGGGTGCATAGCAACCTTTACATGACCTCTCCCTGAAGTCTGGGCTGGGGTCTGCAGTGAGAGAGCTTGCTGAGATCTGGGGCCGAGCCTGGCTAGTCAGGTTATGTGAGTCCCTGAGCAGAAAGCAGCCAGCCACGTTGAGAGGAAGCAGTCAGTAGACCTCTCCTTGCTTGGGGAATGCTGTACTGGCTCATCCTGCAGCGGGGGGTGCATAAGCTCACATGGTCTTCTCTGTTCCTGGCAGGCGTGGAGGTCGAAGAATCCACTGTGTATTCACGCATGATCCAGGCAGCTGCAGAGCAGAGAGACACCTGCCTAACCATCACGCCAACGGTGTTGGGCGAGAGGCATCTGCCAGACCAGCTGGCCTCAGTGACCAGGATCTCCTCCTCGGCCCTCTCGCTGGGGCACGTGACGCGGGCGCTGTGCCGAGGCATCGTTCAGAACCTGCACTCGATGCTTCCCTTCCAGCGGCTCCGGGAGTGGGGCGTGGAGCGGGTGGTCAGCAGTGGGAGTGCGCTGTCCAGGAACGAGGTGCTGAAGCAGGAGGTGCAGCGGGCTTTCCCTCTCCCCGTGTCCTTTGGGCAGGATGTGGACGCAGCCTTGGGGGCGGCACTGGTCATGCTCCAGAGAACCCTCCACCAGGAGGAGTCTTAGTCTGCACACTCTTTGGCCAAAGCACTGTTGCCATTTTTATCTAAAGAACATCCCTGACGTGATCTTGGAGCCATCCTTTTCCTGGACAGCAATGTTGGCAGCTTTCAAACAATGTTTGTTCTCAGGCCACCGTGCTGACCACGAACTTTCTCCAGGGCACACGCTACTGATGCAGCCACCAGGTCCCCAGTCAGTGCCTCTGAGAGGCTCACCTGGGAGCCGGCTGCCAATGTCAATGTGGAAAAAAGGAAAAGAGGAAAGTAACCCAGCATCATGGTCAGCCCGCTCACCTGTGATTCACCTGTAGACAGAGAAAATAAATGTGGGCTTCAGACACACAAAAATGCCTGGTGGCTGTGGCTCTGAGTCAGAGAGACGACCTGCCCTCCACCCCACCTCCAGCTTTTGGATTGGTTGTTTCCAGGGATAGGAAGCTCTGACTCGGGTCCCATGTACTATCAGAAAAGTCCTTCCCCCTGGACTGGACCACATGACCCCTTTCCAGTGTCAGTCTCCCCTGGCCGCAGCTGGCTATGTGGGGCAGGCGGGCTGAGGTGAAGATGAGGGGTCTGTGCCTGCCTTCTTGCCATGTACTCCCCCCCTCTCCCCAAGGAGAGGATGCTGTGCCGGAGCGGCCCCAGATCCTCACAACACAGCTGGTCTGAGGGCAGGGGACAGGGAAGGAGAGTTGGACAGCATGACCAGCAGGAGGTGGATGCTGTGTGGTCCCACCACTCACATTGTTCCCCCGAGCCTGCCCAGGCACTGCAGGGCCCTTTCTGGGAGTGGATCTGTGCAGCAGTGTGTTTTTGCCTCTGCACAACCTTGGGAGCTCCTAGGCAGACTGAGGCCCCCAGGCATGCTCCCACCAGAGAGAGGACCCATTTAGTCAGAGAGGACCCCTTATCCTGGAGGCCTCAGCTCTTCTTTCTGTTGGCGTGAGCCTTGCTGGCCCACCACGTGTTCCTGGCTTGCAGAAACATCCCACTGGAGTCAGCATGCTGGCAGGGACCCCAGAGCATCTTAAACCTTCCATGGTCGGCGGGGATGACCACGGAGTGGCTTCCAGGAGAAGGCCGCCATCGCTGTGTCTGCTTCCAGACTCCCCAGGGCCATGCCAGCCTCAGGCAGACGCTGAGGCACCCAGGCAACTCTGCGTTGGGGAAGCAGCCATGTCGTCTCTTTGTAAATGTCACTTTGTGAATGACGTCATTGCCTGACGCTCTTAGGTGACGCTGCCTGGCTGTGCTGATTGAACTCAAGATACTAAAACTCATTCTTCTTGAGCCTTGTCGCTTGAATAAAAACACCTCTGCTTTGGGGAAACAGATCACTCAGGAAAGCTGTATAATTTTTCTCTCAGCCAGAGGGAGGTCAGGTGCCCTCATCTTGGATCCCCTGGGGGAGAAGGCGCCCCCAGGAGAGGCTGAAGGACAGCTGGCCTCTGACTTGCAGTGCCAGGGGGCTGTGGATGGAGCCTGTAAATAGAAGATCGGGAACGGAGGGTGTCCTGCAAGCCCAGGCAGCCCAGCCCAGAGTCCAGGGTGGCCCTTCCTATTCCACCCCTGAGGGCTGAGCCTCCTGGGGCCCAGGCTTGTCCGCAAACAGTCCTGTCGCTGTTCCTATTGCACGCGGCCCGGAGCCTCTGCAGGGTGCGAGTACTGCTCACTCCCCCGCCCTCTGCCACACACACCCTTCCCTGGGAACTCGCTATCCCCACATCATGTTCATGTGGCTTTCATGTTCTCCGTTTTCTTCTCACATGGGCTGAAAAGCTCATGATGGCAGGTTAGGTGTTCTCTGTCCTGTCCTCTTCTGACATTTAACCTGGGCTGTGGCCCATCTTTGGAATGGTCTCCTCCCAGCTCAGTGCCATCGCCTGCTGCAGTCTCCCTAGCAGCACATTTGCTGCTGGATCACAGTGGCCGCTGGCATCTGTGGCCCCCCGGCTTGTCCCTGTTTCAGGGAGCCCCGCTCCATAAGCGTCACAGAGCCCGACAGGCCTCCCTCACCCGCCCTGGTCTCCTTAAAGTCAGAGACCATCTATTCACCCCACTCACTGCCGTGTGCTCGCCACGTGCATAGTGGGCCCGCAGGAAAGGGGGCCGGTGAGACTGACTTCGTAGCCATGGTTACAGACGGGTTACGGACAGGCTAATCGGAAAGTGAGCTATTCGTGCTGTAGACATGCTCACTGGGTGACTCATAAAACATTAAGCAAATTTCTTAAAATTAAAAAACAATTAGCCCCAACCCCAAGCTAATGGCCGGATAAGCTCTGCAGCCAGCAGATGTGGTTCTCATGCTGAAATAATGAGGATGAGAGCAACCGGCATTCCTGTCTGGAGCTCTGCCGGCTCAGAGCCTGTTCACACCCAGTGTCAGGGCTAATCCACAGCAAAGCCCCGCAAAGCAGGCCGGACGGGCGCTCCTCCATGGTGTGGATTAAGAAGCAGGCCCAGAGCCACCACCCAGGTTCATGCAGCCAGCGTCTGGCACAGCCCGGCCTTTTCTCCCGGCTTCCATTGCCTGCTCACTATTGACCCTCTCCTCATATTCTCACTCTTGCTCCAGTCCCTGCCCTTGGGTCCCAGCTCAGCAGAGCAGGCTTGGCTGTCAGGTGCAGAGTCAGGTGCTGCGTGGATGCCTGACCTCCAGCACAGCCGCGAGCCCCTACCCACTTTCAGGGCGTGCTGACCCCTCTGCAGAGCCCCGCCCATCACGGGAGCTGGTCTTTCAGACTCAGTGGCACCTGGTGACACTCATGCGCAGGCCGAATGCAGAAAGAAGAGTAAGTTGCTGTCAGGGTTGTAGCTTGTCATCTGGATCTGGGACCCCGGAAGCCATTCCAAACCTGGGAGGCAAGACGCAGACATCAGAAGTTAAAACAAGATTTAGAAAGCTCGAGACCAGACTAGAGCTGTCACTGCCCTTGGGTGGGTGACAGGGACCTGCAGCGGCACCTTAATTCCTCTCCCTGGGGCTGGGGCTGGCAGCGCGCAGGTCCTGCCCTCCTGGAGCTGCCAGGCTGACGGTTCCCGGCTGTGGTAATTAGGCTTTTCATTGCTAGCCGTGCCAGAAAGCCTGGCTTCAGACCTGTGAGGAGCCTGGGTAGATGAGGAAAATGAATTAGGCTCCTATTGCCAGGTTGAGAGCTTAGTGCAAGTCAGCGTGCCCCCTGGTGGTTAACGAAGTGGGAGAACGGGCCCTTCATGATATTAGCAATTCTAACTTGGCCCTCCCTGCCCTGGCCCGTGTGGCTCAGTTCGTTGGAGTGTTGTCCCGTGCACTGGGAGGTCAGGGGTTCGACTCTGGTCAGGATACATACCTGGGTTTTGAGTTTGATGCCCGACTTGAGTGCGAATGGGAGGAAACCTGTCTCTCTCTCTCTCTCTCTCTCTCTCTCTCTCTCTCTCTCCTTCTTCTCTCCCTTCCTGTCTCTCTCAAGTCAATAAAAAAAAAGGTTATAAAAAAAAAAAAAAAGACTTGGCCCTCTCACCTGCTCTGCTTCTTGTCCCCATCACACAAGAGCTCAGCGAAGCACCCCCTACTGGAAGTCATTATTATTTTAAAAAATATATTTTATTGATTTTTGTACAGAGAGGAAGGGAGAGGGCTAGAGAGTTAGAAACATCAATGAGAGAGAGTCATTGATCAGCTGCCTCTTGCACACCCCCCACTGGGGATATGCCCGCAACCAAGGTACATGCCCTTGACCGGAATCGAACCCGGGGCCCTTCAGTCCCCAAGCCGATGCTCTATCCATTGAGCCAAACCGGTCCCGGCTGGAAGTCATTATTAAAACATGATGTGTTTACAAGGGATTTTAATGGGCACATCATCACATAAACTCAAGAACACCCTGTTCAAATCATCATCCAGAAAA